CCTCTTTTCTTCAAGTGAGATGCCCCTGGGTCCCCACTTACTCCTCACATAGCGTGGATTACAGACCTCTCATTTTTTTCTAGGGTAGATTTGCCCCCAGAGTTCTTATTTAGGACCCTCCCACCCTCCTTTCTTCAGCAGTGAGCTCTCCCGGTATCTATGACCTTTCCATCCAGAGCTGACCACACCAAATAGGCATGGCACTGTACCCCTGGGACAGCCTAGTTGGGAGTGACGCATCATCAGACTGATTGTCGTAACAGGTCACTGTATGATCTACAGGAGGGGTGCGTGTGTGTGTGTGTGCGTGTGTTTGTGTGTGTAAGGGAAGAAGGGAGAACTTGTTTTCTGGAAGCTGTCTTAAAGTGAGGATTTCCTTGATGGAAGCAGCTTAGCGAACCTGCAATCCCAGTATCCGTCTATCCTTGAAGACCAGAAACATTTTCTAGATCAATGAAAACAAGCACATTTCCAAACCTGTGCACCTCTACAATGTACAATGAGGTGAGCTCTGTTTTCCCTCCTTGCCTGGAGGCCAAGAAAAACAAAGGACTTCACTGGAGTGAAATTGGAGTTATCTCCTCTCCTAGCAAATAGCCCCCGGGTGACAATTGCTGGTTTGAAAAGTTCTTTCTACATGGGTTACTAGAATAGACCAGGAGTTCTTAGATTTTCTTTTTTGTGCCATGGACTCCTTGGCAGTCTGGTGAAAACTGTGGACCCTTTCTGAAAGTTGTGTTTATAAATGAATAACCTAATTACATAGGAATTCAAAAGAAATCAATTAGGGGCTGGCCCGGTGGCGCAGCGGTTAAGTGTGCATGTTCCACTTCGGCAGCCCGGGGTTCGCCGGTTCCGATCCCGGCTGCAGACACAGCACCGCTTGGCACACCATGCTGTGGCAGGCGTCCCACAAATAAAGTAGAGGAAGATGGGCACAGATGTTAGCTCAGGGCCAGTCTTCCTCAGCAAAAAGAGGAGGATTGGCAGCAGATGTTGGTTAGCTCAAGGCTGAACTTCCTCAAAAAAAGAAAGAAATTATATTGAATATAGTTATAAAAATATTTTTAAATTGTAATATAATAACAATGTGCTTCTTTATTAGTGCTTTAAATATTAATATCTATGTCTAATAACTATCATAATTTGGAAGTAGCAATGAGCACAAGCAATATTTCAAGATCTCTGCAACAAGTCTGATGTGACAGGAAAATATCTGATTGCTACTGGTGACAAAGTCACAGGAACTGTTAGCTTGCCACCTACATCCATTATTAAAAGAAATGCTAACATTCAGTCTGAGGTTAGTGAAAATAAAGATTCAAATTTTTATCAGCAAAATTCAGAGACCCCTTAAATTGCATGGACCCCGGGACAAGAGCCCCCAGTTAGAGAATTGAAACAGAATCCTAACGGGAGAGTCTGCAGAGGAGACCAGCTCATCTTACAGATGAGCAAAGGTGCTTTTGAGGATTTCAGAAGACCTTCAATTTTGTGAGGTACCTTGTAGGTTCCAGTACTTAGTATTTTGTCTTTTACTTACTGAGAAGTTGATGGGAACGGTAAGAGTCAAAATTGGGGGCAGGTGTCTGTTTGGCACTTGTTTTGAATGTCATCATTTATAAACCCAATGTGGAGAAAAAGAACAAAGGGTCCAGTCTACAATGAGCATCGCTCCTGGACCCCTGGCTGGAGCTTACATGTTGCCAAGGCCCTCCACATACACACAAGTCCAGAAAAATCTCTCTCATCTTCCCCTTAAAGGACATCCCCAAGCATTCAAAGACGCACATTGTTTTTTATTTTTTTTTGAGTTCATAATAGTTTACATCATTGTAAAATTCCAGTTGTACATTATTTCTTGACTATCACCACATGGGTGCTCCCCTTCACACCTTGTTCCCACCCCCACCTGCTTTGCCCTGGTAGCCACTGAACTGGTGTCTTGGTCTGTGTGTTTGTGCATATTCCACACATGAATGAAATCACCTGGTGTTTCTCTTTCTCAGTCCAGCTTATTTCGCTTAACATAATACCCTCCAGGTCTTTCCATGTTGTTGTAAGTGGGATGAATTTGTCTTTTTTATAGCTGAGTAGTATTCCATTGCATATACATACCACATCTTCTTTATCCAATCATCAGTCGATGAGCACTTGGATTGTTTCCATGTCTTGGCTATTGTGAATAGTGCTGCAATGAACATAGGGGTGCATATGTTACTTTGGATTGTTGATTTCAAATTGTGTGGGTAGACACCCAGTAGTGGGATAGCTGGGTCATAGGGTAGTTCTATTTTTAGTTTTTTGAGGAATCTCCATACTGTTTTCCATAGTGGCTGCACCAGTTTGCATTCCCACCAGCAGTGTATGAGGGTTCCCTTCTCTCCACACCCTCTCCAACATTTGTTATTTTTAGTCTTAGTGATTATAGCCATTTTAACAGGCGTAAGGTAGTATCTTAGTGTAGTTTTGATTTGCATTTCCCTGATGATTAGTGATGTTGAACATCTTTTCATGTGTTTATTGGCCAGCTGTATGTCTTCTTTGGAAAAATGTCTGCTCATCTCCTCTGCCATTTTTTGATCAGGCTGTTTGTTTTTTTGTTGTTCAGTTGTGTGAGCTCCTTATATGTTATGGAGATTAACCCCTTGTCAGATATACGATTTGCAAAAATTTTCTTCCAATTGGTGGGATGCCTTCTGGGTTTGATCTTAGTTTCTTTGGCTTGCAGAAGCTCTTTAGTCTGATGAACCCCCCACTTGTTTATTTTTCCTTTTGTTTCCCTTGTCTGAGAAGACATGGTATTCAAAATGATCCTTTTAAGTTCATTGTCAAAGCGTGTACTTTATCTTTCAGGAGTTTTATGGTTTCAGCACTTATCTTCAAGTCTTTGATCCGTTTTGAGTTTATTTTTGTGTAAGGCATGAGATAATGGTCTACTTTCATGCTTTTGCATGTGGCTGTCCACTTTTCCCAACACCATTTATTGAAGAGACTGTCTTTTCTCCATTGTGTGTTCTTGGGCCCCTTTGTCGAAGATTAGCTGTCCATAGGTGTAAAGTTTTATTTCTAGGCTTTCAGTTCTGTTCCATTGATCTGTGTGTCTGTTTTTGTACCAGTACCATGCTGTTTTGATCACTATGGCTTTGTAGTACATTTTGAAGTCAGGGATTGTGATGCCTCCAGCTTGTCCTTTTTTCTCAGGATTGCTTTAGCAATTTGGAGTCTTTGGTTGCCCCATATGAATTTTAGGATTCTTTGTTCTATTTCCGTGAAGAATGTCATTGGGATTCTGATTGGGATTGCATTGAATCTGTAGATTGCTTTAGGTAGCATGGACATTTTAACTATGTTTATTCTTCCAGTCCATGTGCATGGAATCTCTTTATGTAATTATCTATTTCTTTCAATAATGTCTTATAGTTTTCATTGTATAAATCCTTCGCCTCCTCAGTTAAATTTATTCCTGGGTAGGGGGCTGGCCCCGTGGCCGAGTGGTTAAGTTCGCGTGCTCCGCTGCAGGCGGCCCAGTGTTTCGTTGGTTCGAATCCTGGGCGCGGACATGGCACTGCTCATCAGACCACGCTGAGGCGGCGTCCCACATACCACAACTAGAAGGACCCACAACAAAGAATATACAACTATGTACCGGGGGGCTTTGGGGAGAAAAAGGAAAAAATAAAAAAAATCTTAAAAAAAAAAAAAAAAGATTTATTCCTGGGTACTTTATTCTTTTTTTGTGATTGTAAATGGAATTTATTCTTGAGTTTTCTTTCCATAAATTCGTTATCAGAGTACAGAAATGCAACTGAGTTTTGTAAGTTGATTTTGTATCCCGCAACTTTACTGTAGTTGTCAATTATTTCTAACAGTTTTCTGATGGATTCTTTAGCGTTTTCTGTATATAAGATCATGTCTTCTGCAAACAGTGAGAGTTTCACTTCTTCTCTCCCTATTTGGATTCCTTTTATTCCTTTCTCTTGCCTAATTGCTCTGGCCAAAACCTCCAGTACTGTGTTGAATAAGAGTGGTGATGGTGGGCATCCTTGTCTTGTTCCTGTTCTCAGAGGGCACATTTTTTACTTTCAGCTGATAATGAGAATTCTAAAGTGGGGAAACTTCATTTAAATTTCAATAGATTCTTTGGAAGAAAGTAACACACTCCTCAAGGAAAGATTTTCACTGTCATCTTGACTTATCAATTCCCAACCACCCTGGGAGCCACATAGGCTCTTGTCAGACAGACATCCAGCAGATGTCACTGGATACCACCTCCCCAGCTTTCCCTGCCTCACACCTCGTGTCTTCTCCTGCCTTATAGCCCAGTGAGGTCACTTAAGCCCCCAAAAGGAGCAGAAAAATCAAACTGTCTCTGCCTGTCTTCCTATGGCAGACAATAGAATATCTGAAGATCTGAAAATTCTTAATATCATTTCACATCTGGAAGTTACCATACAGCTGATTTATCAAGAGCACTAATGGTAGTTTGAGCAGGACAACTCTTTGTGCAGAAACATCTGAGTCCCCTACACTAAATGCCAGAAGCACCCACTCCATGTCTCTGTGACAGTTACAATACCTCCTCACATTTCTAAATGTCCTCTAGGGGTGGTCATACAACCTCTGGTTGTGGTTGAGAACAATTGAATGAAAACAAAGTACAGAGAGGTTAATGAGTTCCCCCAAGACATAGGGTTAGCCAGCTTATTGATTTATTTATAATTCCACATAATGCCAAAAATGATTTGAATGAGTTGAATGACCTAGTTTTTATTCGGACATAATTCTTCTCATCTCCATTTTAGACATGAGGGAATTGCCCAGGGTCACACAGCTAGAAAGGGGAGGAGATCAAAATTCGAGTGCTTAACAGAAGTTCCACCATATTACCCCCTCTGCACTCAATAATGTCTGCCGGGCATTGGGCACTTGCAGGGACCACGTCTAAGGCCTTGGTGCTGCCCTCTCACTGAGTCTAACAAATGCCATTATTCATACAGGTGCTGCAAGGTGCGGCCACATGTTTCTATGCTTTCATTGGCTTTGACATCATCGCCACCACCGGAGAGGAAGCCAAAAATCCCAACACGTCCATCCCTTATGCTATCACTGCGTCCCTGGTCATCTGCCTGACAGCATATGTATCCGTAAGTACCAAATGCTTATGGAACTCTCCTCACGGCCTTTTCATATTTGATTTTAAAATGTGGCTCTGGGACAGAGGTCCCTGCTGTCGGGAACCAGCCCTTTCCTTGTGCCTTTTTAGTGTTTCTATGCACATGCCTCATGCCCCCTGGATCCCCATCCACTAATGACAAGAAGAAAATCAGCACTCCAAACTGGAGATGGGAGAAGCCCCAGGCCCTCACTTCAGCCATGGCCTCTGAGTTTCCATCCCTGTCCCACTCTACACACAGGCCCTGGGTGTCCACTGCAACCCAGGGGATAGCGTGCAGGGAGTGGGCCGCCATCCAAGGAGCTCAGATCATAGGCTGGCAGTAACGGGTGGGTGTGCGAGCAGAGGCATTGTGGCCTCTGTGCACCCTCCTCAATGCTCTTCTGTCTTCTGGGAGCTTCCCGGCAGCAGAGGCGAGGCTCCCCCAGAGTGGGGAAAGAGAATACATTATCCTCTAGAGACGCTCTTCTTAAATCTCCCAGGGGAAATGCAATTTCTGTCTGCTCTTGCTCGCTCTTTTTACACCAGCTCAAGCTCTCCCCTTCAGGTTTCCCTGCCAAGGAGAGTCCTCAGAAGGAAGCCTGCAGGCTTGTCTCCCAGGATCATACCCCTGAGATACATTTCACACTTTTGATGTGTCATCTCTCAGCTGGGGGGTCCCATCCCAGCATTTCTATCACGGAAACAGTTTAGCCACATCCAACATCCTCCTCAGCCCCTGGCAGTGGAGGGAACCAGCTGACAAGCCAACAGGTTTGTAGTTACACAAATGCTCCCAGGCCTTGAGGGTCCCACTCACTTCAGTCACCAAATTGGGAAAGAACCAGCATCTGGAGTGTACCCTGCCATTCCTGCTGCCACTGCATGTGAAAAGCACCTCCTTCCACCCCCCACCTCAAAAAGAAAAACAAAAACCATCTTTAGCAACTACCTAAAGAAACCAGGCCAGTGGATCATTAAGCTGCAAAACAGGATTGTCCTGGAAGCCAAAGGAAAACACAAGGGCAACCTTGGATGCAGTTTATAGAAATTCAGCTGCCCACCCAAAGGTTTACAGATAGGTCAGTTAGCACCACCCCCTGTGCACATGCGTGCAAGTGGCTTCATCTTATCCATGCCCTGATCATCCCAGCAGACAGAGCATGGGTGTGGGGGGAGCAGCAGAGACCCTCTGCTCTGCATTTCCCCTCCTGTTCCTCCCTCACACCTCCCCCATCTCCAGTGGTCTACTCTTGCAGCACACAAAGTAAAGTTAATAATCACAGTTCCTTCCTTAGAATAACACGTTATAGACTACAGAGGACTTCTGTGCATCTAGCAACTTTTTGCCCATCCTGATCTAACATGGGCAGGAAACTCAACGCAAATTGCTGTAAAAATCAATCCCCTCTCCTCTAGCCCATCCCACCCGACCCCCAGAGGAGACGTTGCAAGTGGCGATGTTGCTCAGAAACATTCCCTTTCAGAATGCAAGGGCCTTAACCAGCCCTCAGGGGCTGTTTGGTCTTGTGCTGGTCACCAGCCTGCCGTTTCACCACCAGGAGAAGAGCCAGATTGCTGGGCTGTGGTGGTCCATCCTGCTGTCCTCCCTAGTGACCCAGGACTTCACCGGAGGGTCTTGGCTCCTGAGGAGTAGGCAAAGAAGTGGTCTAGAAATGCACTGCCCTCTCCCTTTCAGGCTCTGAACTCCCTTCTTGATGCCAGGATTAGCTTTCGCAGGCCAGGGTGGGTGGGAGCCTGGCCATAAGAAGGGAGGGATGCTATGGCAGATCTATGACATAGGAAGAGAAATAGGTCCTGGGAGTCCCAAGTGATTCCTGGTTAAGCCATAGTGGCCTTACAGCTCCAGAGTAGCACTGGATTCCATCTTGATGCCATAATTTGTTTGATGGCCTGCTCGGCTCCTGGAACTGAGCTACAGAGAGAAAATAGAAATATGAGTCCTCATTGGTTAGTTGGCTGTGGACCTCCTATGCACGTCTCTTTGGAGTTTTGATCTCTGGTCTTCAGGGTGAGAGGCAGTACAGATAAGACCCTGTAGGACCCTGAAAGTATAAAAGAAATGAGGGGCTTGTCCATGTGGGCAGGGTGTGCATGGTCACTGCCAGGCCCTGGCTCCAGCACCTTTGGCTGCAACTCCTTCCACCTGGTAATATCTGCCCTTCGTTGAACAGTCAGCACGGCTCTGCTTCCATGGGGCTGAAATACCTGCAAACTTATTCCTCGAATATGAAAGGGCCATAGAGAGATACTAGAGGTTATCTGGTCCAGTCCTCTAAATTCTCATGTGGAGAGAAAATACTGAGACCAAGAGCTCCAGAGGCCAAATGACTGGTCTAAAGTGAAGGCACATGCTGGGAAGTGGCAGATCCAAACTGCATGCAGGCCTCTGCCACCAACTGCAGACTTCTTTCCTCTCCTATGGGACATCCATCCATGTTTCAGTCCCCTCTACCTCCAGCCATGTTTTCTCTTGCTTTGACAGGTGAGCATGATCTTAACTCTGATGGTGCCGTATTATGCCATTGACACGGAATCCCCGCTCATGGAGATGTTTGTGGCTCATGGGTTCTACGCTGCAAAATTCATCGTGGCCATTGGGTCTGTTGCAGGCCTGACAGTCAGCTTGCTGGGCTCCCTCTTCCCAATGCCTAGGGTCATTTATGCCATGGCTGGTGATGGGCTCCTTTTCAGGTAAGTGCTATGCTCTGTGGAACTTGTGCTGTTCTGCCATGAATGTCCAGGGAGAATGTCACCCACTCTCAGCCTGACTAATTTTGATGTGAGTGCCTTTAACATAGTCAGTGGCACTTCTCATTTATGCTGACAAAGAGCTTCAGTGAAAACAGCTTAGGCCCTAAGGCAGCCCCTCAGTTCGACTCTGGTCCCTCAATCCAGTGCAAGCTGATATGTTGCCCTAACTGGCCCCTCCCCTCCTGCCTGACACTGTGTGTTCCTTTGTGAACATGGTGGGTGCCAAATTGCTGCACTGAGTGGCCTTCAGAAGGAAGAACCCATCCCGGGGACATCTTAGGCCTGCTGTCACTTTGAGACCTAGGGACTGCTCCTCTCCCCACAGCCCCTCTGAAGTTGAAAAAGTTCAAAGCTACAATCAAAGAGAGAATAAGACCCTCCTAATGGAACCTAACAATTGTAGCAACAATAGCTACCGTTTACTGAACGTTTGTGCATCCCAGGTGCTTTGTATACAGTATCCCATTTAGTCGTCACAAGAACTCTGTTTCAGATGACTATGCTAGATGAGTACACTCAGAGAGGTGAAAAAAACTTGCCCTAAATCCCCCAGGTGCTGAACGGGGGGGGCCAGGATTTGAACCCATGACTGAATGGCTCCAAAGACCAGACTTAACCACACCAATGTATTGGCAGTTCCAGTCCCCTACGTTGGCCACAAAGTGGCCTATCTGCCCATAGTACAAGGGGATGTGGCCCCATCTCTTGGTTCCCAGTGCCCACCATGTGAGAGACTTGTGGGGAAGGCACTCTTCAAGGGCGCAAAGCAAAGAGTAAACCATGGAGGCCAATGAGCTCTCAGGTGCAGAGGGATCCAGCTCAGGGACTTAATCTCTGCCATCAGCTGTCACCTTCTGCTCCATTTCCTGTGTATACCCCCTGAAGTCATCACCAGGTCAGAATTTCTGTGTCTAGAGAGCTGGACAGATCAAGAAGAGGCTGACCATGGTGGAGGTGTGACAACTTCACACATCCAGAAGGTTTTTCTGCTGTCAAAGAAAACTAACAGGAAAGATGCTGGGGCTCCAAGAGCAGTTTATAGTCTTGTGTGAATCATGAAAATCAAGGCGGAATAGAAGAGGAGGGAGGAGACAGGATCAGGAGGAGAGAGAGGAAGCAAGCAGGCACCTACCTGAGGCCAACAGGAATCGTCCTCCACTTGGTAACTGGCTGGATTTAGCCTGCATCTATGAGCACGTGTTCTTAATTATTGTGCTGTTTGCCAACTAACTCCCTGTACTTTTATTGTAGCACAGTGCTTCTCAAGCTTTGGCATAAATCAGAATCCGCCGGAGGTTTTTTAAAGCATCATTTGCTGGGCCTCACCCCCAGAGATTCTGATATAGCAGGTCTCAGGTGAAACCTGAAAGAGTGTATTTCTAACAAGCTCCGTGGTGATGCTGATGCTGCTGATCCATAGAACACACTTTGGGTGGCAGAGGTTTAGAGGGCCTCCATGAAGGTGTATGACTTCTCCAACTATCACTTCTTCAGAGCAAAGCCTGTGCTTCAATTTAGGCTCTCTGGCATACCTCCTAGATTATATCAGCCCTTCATACCACATAACAAAGAAAGAACTTTAATAAAGAAGTTTGCCTCAAAACCAAGGAATTATATTAAATTCTTTTTAAATTATATTCCAGGAACCAAATCCTGAGGTAGGAATAGCAGGTATATTTAAAACAGTGAATCCAGAAGTAAATTGGAGGAGCAGGGCCCGGAGGCATTAAGCCATGTTAGAGTCAGTCACCATCTTAGCCCTCTGTTAACCCTCTTCTTGCCCCTCCCGGCAGGTTCCTGGCTCATGTGAGCTCCTACACAGAGACGCCAGTGGTGGCCTGCATCGTGTCGGGGTTCCTGGCGGCTCTCCTCTCTCTGTTAGTCAGCCTGAGAGACCTGATAGAGATGATGTCCATTGGCACACTGCTTGCCTACACCTTGGTCTCTGTCTGCGTCTTGCTTCTTCGCTATCAACCAGAGAGTGACATTGACGGCTTCGTCAAGTTCTTGTCTGAGGAGCACACAAAGAAGAAGGAGGGCATTCTGGCTGACTGTGAGAAGGAAGTTTGCTCTCCTGTGAGCGAAGGGGAAGAGTTTTCAGGCCCAGCCACCAACACATGCGGGGCTAAGAACTTACCATCCTTGGGAGACAATGAGATGCTCATAGGGAAGTCCGACAAGTCAACCTACAACGTCAACCACCCCAACTATGGCACTGTGGACATGACCACAGGCATAGAAGCCGATGAATCTGAAAACATTTATCTCATCAAGTTGAAGAAGCTGATTGGGCCCCGTTACTATACCATGAGGATCCGGCTGGGCCTTCCAGGCAAAATGGACAGGCCCACAACAGCCACAGGGCACACGGTGACCATCTGTGTGCTCCTGCTCTTCATCCTCATGTTCATCTTCTGCTCCTTCATCATCTTTGGTTCCGACTACATCTCAGAACAGAGCTGGTGGGCCATCCTTCTGGTCGTTCTGATGGTGCTACTGATCAGCGCCCTGGTGTTTGTGATCCTGCAGCAGCCAGAGAACCCCAAGAAGCTGCCCTACATGGCCCCCTGCCTCCCCTTTGTGCCTGCCTTTGCCATGCTGGTGAACATCTATCTCATGCTAAAGCTCTCTACCATCACATGGATCCGGTTTGCAGTCTGGTGCTTTGTGGGTAAGCAACTTCCTTTGGAGCCTTGAGACTTCCCTTTTAAGCCTTAGCCCAAAATTACCTTCTAGGTAGACCAGGCATCTCCATTCTGAGAAAAATCTGGCTGGTTCTATGGACCCTTGCTTTCTGCAGTAGTCAATAAAGCAAGTTGTCTCCTTTCTGCCTGTCATGGTCTTGGTCGTTGGTTCTGAAAAATGATGCTGATCAATCCATCACTTCATTGAATATGATGATTGGAAGTTTTTCTTATGGATAATTAGTACCAAAAAAGCTCATTTAAAATGAATCCACATAAAAAAGGGACAAAAATAGCGTAGTAAAAGGGAGAGGGGGAAAGGTTGATTAAAATTCTGAGAAACTAAAAATTATGAAAAAGTTATTTATCTTACATTTGACAAAATTAAATTAAAATAGTGATCATGCTCTAATTTTTTAAATTAGCAAAGTATGAATTAAGTATGGATTTTTTGGCATAATTTTTCTGACAAAATTGCATCATGGCACCATTTAACATCTCTCTCTTTAAATTGACTTCTGTAAAATATTCAAGAGTTTTTCACTTTTTCCCAAGGTCTCTTTATCATCCTTTGATATACCAGTCATTCTCCTGGGCAGTACCCATCACTCCACCATCCTTGTTGATTGTCTCTTCTTCTGTGAATAACTGGTATGACTCTCTCAGGTCCTCAATTGCCCACAGCTTTGGGTGTAAATTAAAGTTTGTCTCTAAACTCACTCTAATGCCTTCAAGAAGTTCTGTCCCTTTCCTAGGATTTCTAGCCTTACTTTGTGATCAGTTTATATTGCATTCAGATTACATGCTTATCATATCTGACAAGCACTGATGTTTACAAGGTGGCTGGGGATTGGTGCTTGTGATAACTGAGAGGGTTGTTTAAGTGAAGACTAATTTTAAAGTTTCTGAGTCACTATTCTTATGTTCCCTAAGCTACTTGGTAACCCTGGGGTCTCTAATTAAAAATACTGAGCTAAGGATCCTTAGGTGCTTTAAGGAGTAGAAAAGTAATGGAATGAGTAACCCCTGCCTTAAGAAGAGGCAAGACAAACACACAAGAAACAACCAGCCTGGGCATGGCAGTAGAGACTCATCAATCAGTAGCCCATCTACTCCTTGAGGTCAAGGACATGGGTGTTCAACAGGGTGTCCTCTGTGCCGAGAACACAGCACATGCTTAAGAAACACTTCTCAATGATTATAAATCACTCTTCAGACGAGAAAAAAGAAACTTCCAGTCAGAATAGCCAGAAAGGACTTTGAGGAAGTAGAATCTGAACTGGGCCTATAAGACTTGCGTAGAGGGAAGTGGAGTAAAACAGTACTCAAAGGAAAGGGCATACGTCTTCTGGCAGACTCCTCACCTCTGAAGGCCATCCTATGCCTTTCCGTAAGCATTTGTCCCCATTTTCCACTGCTCGAAGCCTCATCCCTTGTTAGACTTTAGGGGGATTTCTTGAGAGGACCCCACTGACTCATCCAGGTTTTAACCATTTATGTGATTTATTCACAATCTCTCTTCTCTGTTTAAACATTTTTCCACTGGAATATGTAGTTAACCAATGGAAAGATTCTACTATGGGTGAAAATGACTGAAGGGAGTAGAAATATTTCAGTCACGTGTTTTTAAATGAATGAAGGTATTGACACAAAGCCACATGGATGTATTCATTCATTCCCACACTATTAAAGCTGGAAGGGGTCTTCAGTATCTAGTACAATGTCACCCATAGTGTGGTGACCTGGCCGATGGTAATATTTGGGCTGATTTTTAGAGAGTTTATGAATGAACTTTTCAAAATATTATATAGTTATTATACATTTTCATATATACTAGAAAAAATGTACATCCATGAATCTGGCGGCTATTTTTAAATGTAAAAAGTGAGTCAAATCAAAGAAAAAAACAGTAGAACCAGTACAGGTGCCATATGATTCATAGTAATAATGAACACTCATATAGCACTTATCACCTATCAGCCATTGTTCTGAGCGCTTTACTTACATGGATTTATTTAATCCTCACAATGGTCTCCATTTGACAGATGAGGCACTTGACTGATGTCACATAGCTAGAATACAGCAGAGCCAAAATTAGAATTCAGGTAGTATGGGTCCAGAGTCCATGATCCTAGCCACTATATGAAAATGTGCTATATAAATAACTAGAGTTTGAGAAACACTGAGCTGGTCCACCACCTCTCCACTTCTCCCTCTCTCAATTTTACACATGAATAAACTGAACCTCCAAGAGGCTAAATATCATGCTCAAGGTCAATAGGAATAATAGGAAATTATCCACAGAGATGTTACTACAATCTAGTATCTCCATCCTCAGATCTGGGGCTCCTACCTCCCCAGCAAGGTGCCTCTGAGCACACCTTCTTATTTGATCAGATGTTTCATGTGTAGTTTGCACTGTTAATACATAACGTCAGGACTGGCTTCACGGGCATGCAACCTGTGCGGTCACACAGGGCTCTGCACTTGGTTTAATGCTCTGATGCTGCCTTCTTAAATTCTTAATTTTTTTTTTCTTTGCTGAGGAAAATTCACTCTGAGCTAAGATCTGTGCCAATCCTCCTCTATTTTGTATGTGGGATGCTGCCACAGTATGGCTGATGAGTGGTGTAGGTCCACGCCCAGGATCTGAACTTGGAAACCCAGGCTGCCGAAGCAGAGCATGCAAACTTAACCAGCCGGCCATGGGGCCGGCCTCTTGAATTCTTAATTTTTTAACAAGAGGCTCCAGCGTTTCATTTTGCACTGGGGCCCACACATTACGCAGCCAGTCCTGTATAACATCTATGGTTTCTGGAGCACCAGAGGCATTTTGCAAAAGTGGTGAGGTGGCAGCTGCCTTGCCTTTGGAGTCAAACAGCCCCAGATTCAAATCACAGCTCTGCCACCTCCTTGTCTTGTGACTGCGGGAAGTTCACTTAAGTCCTCTGGGCCTCAGTTTACTCATCTGTAAAAATGTAGATAATTCTCCCAGCCTTGATCTGGTTACTGTTTGGAGCTTAAATAAGAAAATATTGGCGAAAGCAGTGAGAACCGTTTCTTTCCTGCCTTTTTGTTAAAAAGATAAAATGATTCATTGTCCCCCAGACCAGCTATCACATGCCCAAAGCACAATGTGAACCTGTTCTGACTCAGGCTGCCCTCCCAGTTCTCAGGCAGAAGAAAACTCCCAGGGAGGCTTCTGTAATCTTGCTGATAGCCCAGACTCCTCCAGAAACTGCCCCTCCTGGATATGGGAGGAGGCCACCCTGCAGCAGGCCAGACAGAGGGCACAGGAGCCCGCACTTCAACAAGCGCCCAGCGGCTGGCTGCTAACTGTTTTCTTATCACGATCTTTGAAGGCTGGGACATGAGTAAGGGTCACCTAGAACAAAAATTCTCAGCGCTGACTACACATCAGAGTCACCTGATTGTTTCTGAAACATTCTATGCCCAGGATCCCCTGGCAGAGATTTTCTGATTCAATTGGTCTGGTATGGTCAAGCACGGGACATTTTCCAAAGCTTCCCCAGGTAATTTTATTTATTTTTTATTGAGGGAACATTGGTTTATAACATTACATAAATTTCAGGTGTACATCCTCCTATTTCAATTCTATGAAGACTACATCATGTTCACCACCCAGTCTAGTTGCCGTCCTTCACCACACACATGTGTCCCTTTACCCTTTTCACTCTCTTCTCTCTCTTCTTCCCCTCTGGTAACCACCAATCTATTCTCTGTGCCTATGTGTTTGTTTGTTGTTGTTGTCTTAACTTCCACATGTAAGTGAGATCATATGGTATTTGGCTTTCTCTGTCTGACTTATTTCACTTAGCATAATGCCTTCAAGGTCCATCCATGTTGTTAAAAAGGCAAGAGTTCATCTTTTTTACAGCTGAGTAGTATTCCATTGCATATATACACCACATCTTCTTCCTCCATTCATCCATTGATGGGCCTGAGGTTGTTTCCAAGTCTTGGCTATTGTGAATAATGCTGCAATGAACATAGGGGCACAAATATCTTTTTGAATTAGTGTTTTCATTGTCTTTGGGTAAATACCTAGAGATGGTATAGCTGGATCATATGGTAGTTCTATTATTAAGTTTTTGAGGAATCTTCATACTGTTTTCCATAGTGGCTGCACCAGTTTGCATTCCCACCAGTAGCGTACAAGGGTTCCCTTTTCTCCGTATCGTCTCCAAAACTTATTTCTTGTCTTTTTAACCATAGCCATTCTGACGCACTTAAGGCAATATGTCATTGTAGTTTTGATTTATGTTTCCCTAATAATTAGCGATGTTGACATCTTTTCATGTGCTTGCTGGCCATCTGTGTATCTTCTTTGGAACAATGTCTGTTCAGATCCTCTGCTCCCCTAGGTAATTTTGATGAGCAGCAGGTTTACAAAGATTTGGAACTGTGGTTCTCAAAGTGTTGTCCCAGGCCAGCAGCAGCAATACCATACGGGAACTAGTTAGAAATGCCATTTGGGACCTCAACCCAAACCTACTGAATCAGAATCTCCAAGGGCAGTTGAGGTTTTAACAATCCTTCCACGTGATTCTGACGCATGCTCAAATTTGAAAGCTACTGATCTAGAGAGAATGAGAGGATATTAGCAAGCAGGGCAGATAACTTAATTACAATAACTTGGTGTTTTTCTAAAACAAATTTTTGCGTATGTAAAATTTATCCATCCCACAACCCCAAATTGCCTTATAAAATCTCTAATGATCTTATAGGATAAATATTCCACCTCTAAACTTCTGAGCTTCCATGTCAGATGTGCCTTCTTAATCTCTCTATTCATAGTGTAAATTTTCCTGGGGAGAAGAGTTGCTATATTTTTTAATGGATCTTCTTATGAAACATCAGCTACTCTTTTAAAAAGAAGATTTACACGGTTAGGCTGAGTCATAACTTGATAATCTTCTTAACCACATTTTTTTATCCATCCTTCCCTAAATGAATCTTAATTACA